TTATTTTTTATGGTATTAAACATTAAAATTGCAAACTTTTGAACATTATAAAGTTAAAAATAAGTCTAATATAACAATATTTACCCTTAGTATTTTGTTGCAAAACCTTTGTTTGAGATAACGGCTTCACAACGCCGATGCATTGAGTCAACTAGGCATTGACATTTTTCTGCTGGTATTGCGTACCATCCTCGTTGAGTAGCTTCCCATAACTGCTGAGCATTAGTTGGATTAGCAGTAGAAACTGCTTTTTTAACGTCTCCCCATAAGTTTTCAATGGGGTTTAGGTCAGGTGACTGAGCAGGCCACTCCATAACCTCAACCCCATTGACCTGAAACCACTCTTTTGCCTTGTGACTTGTGTGTTTTGGGTCGTTGTCTTGTTGAAAGACCCATTTTAACGGCATATCTTCATTAGCATAAGGCAGCATGACATTATTGAGGATATCGGTATATATATGTTGGTCCATAATACCATTAATCTTATAAATAGGTCCGACACCATTATATGAGAAACAGCCCCATACCATGACTTTGGCTCCACCATGTTTTACAGACTTAATGGTATATTTTTGCTGGAATTCTGTATTAGATGGACGTCTTACATATTGTCTTGAACCTGTACCTCCATAAAGAACTATTTTTGATTCATCAGTCCATAATACGTTGCGCCACTTTTCGATGGGCCAATTCAGATGTTGGTTTGCGAACTGCAAACGTTTAGCGGTATGTTTTTTTGTCAACAAAGGGACCTTTCGTGGACTGTGTGCATACAAACTTTTCTCTCGTAAGCGTCTACGAACTGTTGTTTCACTCACCTGTAGGTCAAGATCATCTTTGACTTGCTTGGCCGATAAAAATGGTTTGCTTTTAACAAATCTAACAATTCTTTGGTCTTCTTGCGCGGTAGTCTTACGTTTCCCCCCTCGTTTTTCAACTTTTGCTATATAATTTATGGCATTTGAAATCATCTTTGCTGAACATCCGAGAATATTTTGTATATATGAGTAAGATTTACCCTCTCTATAGTGTTTCAAAATAATGTTGCGTTCTGCTGGTGTACAATGATGTCCTCGGCCCACTTTGAAAGGTTTAGAAAACAATTTTACCATTACGCATACTCAAATAAATAAAGAATATGTTATAATTGAAGTAGTACTTACTTTTTCAACGAAAAATACTAAAATCTCTTCAAGTTTTGTTAACTAACTTTAAAATTAATACAACCACTGCTATTTTAATGCCTTTTGTCAATTACAATATTTTTATTAAAAATAAAGATATTCTACAATGTAATGAATTCTCATTTGCTCAATTTATTTATCTCATTCTAGTACATACACACATAAAAAATTAGCCCTTCTGTATTAACAGAAGGAGAGTAATATTGAAAAAACGAATAATTTTTTGGTATTGCTATTTTCATGCTCACAGCTGTATATATATATATATACACATATATATATATATATATATATATATATACACATATACGTATATATATACACATATATGTATATATATATATATATATATATATATATATATATATATATATATATATATATATATATATATATATATTTATATATTAATACACACATATATACATATATATATATATATATTTTTTATTTTTTATTTTATAAATCTTTATTTAATATTGAATAACATTACAAGTAATGAATTGTACAATTTTGTCTGTCCTTTAATGTTAATAGTTTTCTAAGAATGCAGGTTAAGAAACATCATTTTTATGAAAATGTTGGATCTCTCTTTTTGCAGCAGCACTGCATGAAGTAAAAAAAGGAGCACTATATATTAAATGGCTAATAGCGTAAGATCGGTAGACCTGTAAAAGGTTTGACCGAGTGTGTCCAAGATTTTCAATACGTTTGAGTAGATATGTTGTGAACTTTTTGCCACTGTTCATCCCAATCAATATTCTCATTGAGCATGATTATAAGGTATTTGTGGCTGCTGACTATTTCAAGTTCAGTATTATTGAGTACAGGGGATGGTAAAGCTTAAATTTCGGAGCATCTAGGAATAATTGTTATGATTTTACATTTAGGGCCATTAAGTTTCATTCCGTTTACCATAGACCAAAGAGCGACGCCATCAACAATGGATTGAGGTAGGTTTGGAGGAACTTTATCATTAGTTATATAGGTCAGTATGTCATCAACATATTTTTCGAGGATGATTTCAGGTGGAAGATAGACGTTAATGTTGGAAATAAATAGAATGAACAGGATTGGACCTAGAACACTACCCTGAAGTACACCGGCTTCAATACATTTCCGTTCAGTGGTGTGATCATTTGTTTTAATTCTTGTCTTGAGCAGAGAGTATAGAATAATAAAAGTTGTTGCAAGCAACTTGTATTTCATACGGTGAATCAACTAAAGTCTCAATATTGGTAGATCGTATCAGTGCAACAGTGTCAGCAATTCTACCTGACCGGTAAGCAATCTTGTGGGGAACTGGGCGAGTAGATTTATAGAGATTTATGTTGCCTAACTACGGCAAGGTGATCTGAATTACCAAAACTAGGAAGGGTATACGATACATAGCCTTTAGGAGCGTTACTCAAGATGATGTCAAGAATAGATGTTTTTCTGGTAGGGTGTGCATTAAGATGAACGAGTTGGTGAGAACGACAAATAAAGTCAGTAGACCATTTAGATCCTCTGCAAGAAATATTAGCGGTTTGTTGCCCATTGTGCAACGAATTATGGCTGGTTCAATGAGTTGTGCAAGTTGATAAGATGCACTGCGCTGCTCACTTTTAGATCAAACCAGGATATAGGCACATATAACTAGACAGGAAGAGTATTTTTGGGGTAGTAGCTTTGGGTATACACAAGCGATTGTTAGTTCGACTTCTTGTTTAGGCTCCCAGTTAGACAAGTAGTCTGTAGTTAATTTTATTTTTTCAATTTTATCTGAGTATTTTTTGTTTATGAATATAGCGGTACCACCACCCATGTTCAGTGCTAATGCAAGTGTAGTTATTATTGATTTGAGAAAGAATAATTCGCTTGCCGCTAGGGTTAAGCCAGGTTTCAGTTAAACAGGCAATGTCAATGTTGGTATCTATAAGAAATTAATTAAAAATCTCAATTTTGTTACAGAGTGAGCGCGTATTAGTAATACAGATGGTTGGTAGGCGATTGGTCTATAGGTTATAGCTAGTTAGTTGGAATGGAGCGAGGAGTAAGGGCACCGCGGATCTTAATGATTGCTCCATTGCGAATGCCCCAGTGAAAGGGTGCATCAGGCTTATCAATATAGTGTTTATCATTACGAATATTGCGGTCTTTGCGTAGTTGGTACTCAAATTCTCTTTCAGCAGGAGACAAATCACTGACTCTGTCTTGAAATTCTCATGTGTAGCGAGTTTGCGAGAGTTCATCAGAGCTAATTTTTTGTTAGTAATATTCTTGAATTCTATGACAATAGGCCGACAATTTGATGCTTTTTTTGTCTTAAGACGCTCGGAGAAACTAACTTCATCATTGGTAAGGCCTATAACGTTAAGAACCTCTGTGATGCAGGTTAACGCAGATGATAGTGTTTGGGTGATATTTGCTGCAGACATTGGTTCTGGGACACCAAATATTATTGTATTCTTTCCACGCTTAGCTGATTGTTTTAGTTCAACAAGGACTTGATTAATTTGCAGTGATGAGTTTAGCTTGTTTCGGACAATATTGCTCCAGGATGGCTGGTGTGAACTTGATTGGGTGGCTGGTTGAGAGTTGATTTTAGTTTCAATAACTGCTAATTTTTGTTCAAATTTTTTTTATTTGGTTGGCTTGCAGGTTGATAGTAGCTTTCTGTTCTGAAATAATGTTCATGAGCTCCATAATCCAGATATCGAGGTGTGCGATTGACGGTGCTAAGTTTTTGATGGCTGAGTAACCATTTGCATCAATTTTATTAACCATAATACTTTGCACAAGATGAAGTAATGTTAAATTATGTGCTTTCTTTATATTGCTGTGATGGTGGGAGGGCTACCACCCTGAATAACAGTGGATTACCTCCCAGTTAAGAAATATTTAATATATATTATACCTTATTAACACAAATACTGTAAAAAGTTTAGATGTGTTTTTTTCCGTGTATATATATAAAATATATATATATATATGTGTATATATATAAAATATTGTATCCACCGTGTATATATATAAAATATATATATATTCACCTGTTACCTGCAGCTATATTTTGTATAAGTATAGTTATATTTTAAAGTTACAAAAGTTTTTAAACTAATCTATAAGCAATAGTTTTTGGCCTACCAAATGATGACAGTTGTGATAATGATAATTTTTTTTTTGAATCAAATTATTTATATAAGTGTTTAAAATTAAAGATTAAAATAATTAGCATTTATATATAGATTATTCACAAGTTGAAATAATATTACAACAGCTGTGTTGGTTTACAAGGTTAGCCTCTAGAACCAAATTATCAGGCATATTATTTTAAAAGTTGGCCACTAGAACCACATTACCAGTTGATTAAAATTTTCAAAAGCACAACTATTAGATTATGTAATCTGCTTTAACATGAGTAACTTTAAAACAAAAATGTTACAATAGATGTTATGCTAAAGTAATCTTATTTACAAAAAAGGTTATAAAACAGGTTTAGTTTATAATGCATCCCCATTTATTATTGTTTTTCATTTTCATAAGTAATATATATTTTATGCATAAATGTATTGCTAGCTTTAGAATTTAAAATCAGTTTAAAGAAGTAGTAAATCAGTTATAAACTTGCCCTCAAAAAAAAGGGATTCACATTTGATTACAAAGTATTTTTTTAAACTTTGTCATCATTAAACTTAAATATAAACATACACAAAATTTGGAGTTTATTACCAATATAAAAGATTGATATTGTAGCATGCTATATTTATATTGCTTCTATAATTAACAAATAAACTAAAATTATTTTATACATTAAATTTAAATTATTTTTAGATACAAATGAATGCAAAGACTCAACTAAATATTGCAATTGGACAAATAGTGATTGTATCGACACCAATGAAAGTTACTATTGTACTTGCAAGTCTGGTTGGAGATTAAATGAATATAGTAACAGCTGCATTGGTCAGTTTTTGTAATGTTTTTTTATATTTTATTTAATTATTTTCAAGGTTACACAATAGAATGACATTATCAGGCAATTATTTTCATACTATTATAGTTCTGTTTTAGATCAAATTGTTCAAGTTAATAAAACATATAACAAATAACAAATAAACTTGAATATCAGTGTAGCACTTCTTACAATCAGCTTTAAATAATGCCCTTCAAAATTTCAACAATTTTTGTAATAATAACGAGTGATGTGGAAAAATCTTGGACAAATCTGAATTGATTTATTTGAACATAATAATTTATGTGTAAGCATAAACGATCTATAAAATATAAACTTTTCATTTGAAACAGGATTATTATAAATAATGTTAAATGCAGCCGTATGAGAGTCTTTTTGACTCAAAATGTTTTTTGTAAATAAACCTAATATTAAAAAAAAAAGAAATTGTAGGTCATTTTGAAAAGGAAGGTTTTTGTCTAAAATCAGCAAATTTATTTGCATAATTACACAATCCAAAAAATTGTATATTAAATATATCATTAATTTAAAGTGATCTCATATAAATAATTACAATATATCCTTTGATAAATGTTATACAAATATTAAAAAGTGTTTTGATCTTACTCTTTGGCAGTTATTTTGTTAAAATGTTGTTTGACCTTAAGTTGGATATTGTATGTCATCAGTTTTATTTCAAGATTTTTTTGTGTTTAACTGTTTGAAATGAAGATAAAAATAGTTAGCGATTACAAGAAGATTATTTACAAGTTGATTGATACTTTTAAAAACACACCTGTTGGATTATGTTAGATTATTGGAATCTGCTTTAATGTGAGTTATTTTCAAATAGGAATATTTCAATAGATGTTACATGAATCCTGCCCTTTATTCAGTAATGTTTTAACAATTTTATAAGTAATTTATACTTTTTATTTATGTGTGTTGCTTTTAAAAAATTTAAAAAAGCTTTTGTTTAAACTTTTACAGTTTAGTTATGAACATACACAATGTTGTTATAAACATAAAAGAGTGGTATTTTAACATGCTGCACCCATATTTATATTGGTTTTATAGTTGACTCATGTAGACTTATTTAGATTATTTCATATATTGTTTTATAATTGTTTTCAGATATTGATGAATGCGCAAACTTGACTAAATATTGCAACTGGCCAAACAGTGATTGCATCAACACCAATGGAAGTTACAATTGTGCTTGCAAGTTCGGATGGACATTGGATGAATATAACAACAGCTGTGTTGGTCAGTTTTTTGTAATGTTTTAAAGTTTTAATAGTTGGATAATCAATAAAATAGAAATGAGAAAGTTTTTCAGATTTTAAAAAAAAAATGCCTTAAAAAAAATACATCCTATGTTATGTATAGGTATGTGTGTAAAAATTTCAAATTATTTATATTTATTATTATTGTATATCATTAGAAAGAGCTTTAAATTAGTATTACATTGATGGAAATTTCATAAAAACAAATTTTTTTACAAAAAGTTATGCCTATTTAAGTAATAAAGTTTTATTCTAAGGGTTGCTTAAGAAAACTGGAACTAACATAAGAAATTGCGTCTGGCTAACAGATGTTTTGTAATAATAATTTCTATTGTTAAATTGCGCATTATTTTGCTTTGTTTAAATTTTAATTTAACACAACTTTAACAAAAAAAAAATTAATATTGACTTATATAATAAAAGACATTCTATTTGTGGTGTTATTATATAAGAACAAAGCTTTCCAAAAAAAAACTTAAAAGTAAACTTAAATATAGAGACTATCAACAAAATTTTTAGTTTCTATGTATATATACTTATTTTATGACTTGTGGATCAAGTTGAGAAACCATGTGACTTGAGTAATAGCAATAGTTTTTAAGGAAAACGAAGGTACATAAAGTAAAGATTTGTTTTCCATCAGTGTGCTATTTTTATAACTAATTGATATATTAGCCATTCCAGATGATTTTTTTATAATTTAAATATTCAAATATAAATGATGTCATTGTATAGAGCTTAGCTTTTTTATTTAAACATCTTCGCTTCCAACAAGGCTGTAAGCAACCACTAATTAGTGTTGGAAGATACTGGAAGAGAGGAGATAAAGATTATAGAGCAAGATAATGATTGACAGACTACTTAAAAGATTGCAAATTATATGAATCCGGAAAGCGAGATGAAGGAAGCGAATTCCAAAGAACTGATGTTTGAGGAAAAAAACTTGACAAATAAGAGTTTTTGGACAATTTAAAAACAGTAACAGAAAAAGGATGAGACTTAAATGAATGGGGAGTAACAAAACAATGAGTTTTAATCAATGGCACAAGAGATGCTAGCTCTTTAGAGCAGTGCCCATTATAGTATTTGTAGAAAAGAGAAAGAAAAGCAACATTACGACGAATTGACAAAGGTTAAAGGTTGGCTGCAAGAACAGGTCCAACTATGTTTACAACGCGTTTTTACACCTTGTCTAAAAGAGAAAGGGCATCATTAGAAGATCCACCCCAGATATGGCTACAGTATTCCATACAAGGCCGGATTTGAGATTTATAGAGATAGAGAATAAAATCCAGAGTAAGAAAGTGTTGAGCTCAATAAAGATATGCAACTTTAGCAGATGCTAATTTTGCAACGGATTTGATATATGGTTTATAAGAAAGATCAGAAGTAAGAGTTAATCCTAGAAGATAAAAGGTAGATGACTCATCTAGTACATTACCATTTATAAATATAGGAAGGTCTAAATTATTGCGATAATGATTGCTTAAAAAATTGAGTTTTATCTGAATTAAAGTTCACCAACCACTGTGAGCCCAATTCTGTAGCAGAAGTGAGATCCTTTTCATGTTCAAATGCCCCCTGCAAACAATTAGAGGGAGTTAGCTTCTTATTGTGACAAGAATAAATGGTAGTATCATCAGCAAACAATGCCACCTTAGATGTGAGAATATCTGGAAGATCCTTAATGTAAATTAAAAAGAGTATAGGGCCAAGGATTGAACCATTGAACCACTTAGGTTACAGAAGAGTGCTGTCCATCAAGGACAACTTTTATACTATGATTGGAAAGGAAGGGTTTAATAATCTTAAAGATGTTTCCAGATACACCAAAAGAAGAAAGCTTATGAAAAGCTTAACTTCAAAAATGAGGGGTCAGTCAGCCTTTAAAGTTAAGCGGATAAAAAGTTATTAACTTTTTTATAGTGGAAAAATTGAAAAACTTTTCATAGTGGAAAAATGATTTTTTGACAAAAGGTATAGGGCTTAAGTATGGAAAATTTGTTATGTTATGACACTAAAACTAAGAGTATTATTGACTTTTGAATAACTTTTGAACCATTAATACATTTGAATTGAAATTTTATACAGTGACCAACTATAAGTAAAGAAAATTCCAAAAATTTTTAAAAAAAATCTGTCTGGAATGGCCATGATTGTCTATTTTACAGACTGAGGATTTGTACTAATTTATTTATTTTTTGGGTCATATTGACTTTGAAAAACTTTTGAACCATTAATACATTTGACTTGAAATCTTTCATAATGACCACCAACTATAAGAAAATAATATTCCAAATTTTTTTTTTTAAATCTGTCGGGATTGTCATGCCGATTTTTTAATAACTTTTGATTCGTGATTATATTTAATTTTAAATTTTTCACAGTGATCAAACAACTATATTAAAATAGAAAACCAATATTTTTTAAAGAAAATCTGTTGCAATTGCTTAGAATCATCTATTTTACAGCCTGAAGGTTTTTATATTATTTTTTTCTTTTTGGAGAATAAAATTTTGAGTCAAGTTATAATTACACCATGCAAATATGCTTAAAGGAATCATAGAACTCAAAAAATACATTATTTAAAAACTATTGCATAATTTACACACAGGCCAGTGAAATAATCACATAATTTACAGATTGGTCAGTAATTTGCTGAATATGGGCTGTACAAACAAATTGAACATATCAACTTTAAATAATTTGATAATATTTTAAATTTTTTGATATTTGTGAACCGTTATTACATTTGACTTGAAATTTTAAATAGTGATCCAGTTTTTATTAAATCTTTCGGATTTATCCAGAATTTTTATTTTACAGACTGAAGGGTTTCTACTTATTAAATTGTGCTATATGAGAAAAAAATTAGCGTTACACTATGCAAATATGCATAATGGAATCATGGAGTCCAAAAAAAACATCATTTAAAAAATATTGCATAATTTACAGACCTGTCAGTGAAATTATTGCATAAGTTACAAACCAATTGGGCATATCGAATTTAAATACAGTTATTATTTTTGAACCGTAACTGCATTTGATTTTAAATTTCAAATAATAATCCATTTTTTATTAAATCTGTAGGGATCACACATAATCGTTTATTTTACAGACTGAAGTTTTTTACTTATTTAATTATGTAATGAAGAACAAAAATTAGGGTTACCATATACAAATATGCATAAAAGAATCATGGAATCTTTAAAATACATCATTTTGAAATTATTGCACAATTTACAGACCGGTCAGCAAATTATTACAAAAGGTGTTGCACAAACCAATTGGGCATTTTGACTATGAATATATTTCATAATTTCCAACTGTTATTATGTTTGAGTTGAAATTTTTGATAGGGATACAAAACTATAAGAAAATTAAATGCCATAATTTTTTTACATTTGTCGAGATTATCTAGAATTGTTAGTTTTACAGAATGAAGTGTTTTTACTTATTTACCTACTCTTAGAGATTAAAATTTCGAGTTATATTATAAAAACTCCATGCAAATATACATAAAGGATAGTAAAATCCAATTAATTCATCTGTTTAAAACTATTGCTCAATTTACAGACCGATTAGTAAATTACTGCGTAAGGGCTTTGAAATCTATCTGAAACATTCAGAATTACCTATTTAACAGACAGAAGATTCATAAATAAAGTTATAATTTTAAATTTAAATGAAAATAAATACAGCAATAGAACTTCCTGAAATTTTTATTACATACATCAAGAATTGCAAGTGCAACAGAAGAAACTCTATCTAAAAGTGTAATAAAATTATTATTAAAAACACAGATACACAATAATTTTAAAAATATATTTGTTAATTTGTTTTAAAAATTAAAAATTAAAAAAAAAGTTATAAATTAACAATTAAAACTAAACAAATATAAAATAAGAATCTTACTCTTTGAGAATGTTTATGTGAACTATTGACAACACCTAAGATAAAAACAACAACATTAAAACAAAAAATAATGGTATTATTCAACTTATCTCTTGGCTTTTAGTGAATGATTAGAAGTAGCAAGTTTCAGTAATGAAACAACCTAATAATAATTTTTAACAATAGACACCAGCCATAAGGTAAGCCAAGTTGTCTATCAACACAAAACATCACAACAATAATATCACAATCACAAAACATACAGACCCTGTGGCACTAAACGCTGCAAATTTACACTAGTGTCAATACTTAGCTAACAATATTGATTTCTATTCTCAGCCCTTTAATGTTTTTAACCAACATTAATGATCATCTTGAAAAGTTCACTGGTAAAAAGCAACATTGAAGATCATCCTGAAAAACTCACAGGTAACTCTATTTGTTGATAACATAAGAAACATATGGGCTGTTAACTGCTGTTACAAAAAGGTTTGAAGTTATAATTATATAGAGGCGATGTCACACATTTTATTGCTCTGGATGATATGGTGTATCTGACAAAAGTCTTTAAAAAGTCTTAGCAATCTTGTTGATATTTCTATATTGATGAATGGCAACATTTTTACTGTGTCTTCTACTTTACATTGTCTCTGATTATCTTTTTGTACTGACTTATCATGGAAACCTTATATACAAATCATTGCAAAGTTAGTATTTGTATACAATAATATAGTATTTTATTGCTCTTAGATGTTCTAAAAAATCTTATTTGTCTAGTTTTTTCCTAGAACATCAGTTTTTTATAATACACTCCTGTTTTTTATAATGCTCTCCTGTTCTAATACTTTTTTTTAAATACTTTAGGCACTTGTATAATCCCAATAATGCTGGGATGTGGCATATAAAAATATTTTCCTGGGATACAAGGGCAAGCAATTGTCCTCCCCACCTTTCAATCCTATTTTTTTTTGATATTTATAAAAGAAAACATTTTGGAAAAAATCTTTAAAAGGATGTCTTAGAAAATTTTTTTGAATCTATTTATTGCTAAGATAATAAAAGCAAAAGCTCATATAAAAGAGCACC